CATCATTATTCTAAAGAAGAATACTAAATGTCAAGACCAAGTCCCCCAGCTGAATTTTTCTTCTTGACTGTTGCAAGGCAGCTGTTGTTTTCAAGAGAAAAAAGGCTCTACCACCTGCATGCCCACTGCGTGTGAAAGAGCATAATCCCACAAACAGATGCAGCAGTGCAGGGGATGAGCTGCCTTTGCAGCCCCAGCAACACAAGCAAAAAATCTGCTGCTGTGAGCTCCCAGGCTTTGATTCACTGAGCTCCTGAACTCCCTAGTTCCCACTCAGGATAAAAAGTAACTGCTGTGCAAGTGGGTTTGTGTTTTGCTTGTTTTCTCCACATAAAATTGCTCCCATGTTATATCCAGTCTCTATTTAATCCAAGTTGTTGTTGTGCATTTAAGGAGACAGCAACTGGAGATGGTGTGTAGAGCAAAGTTAAGAAAAAAAACAAACACCAGAGCATTTTTGGGGGTAATAGAGACCAAAGATACAAATTAAGCATGTATGCCTGCTCCTAATGGAGAATTAGAAATAGGAAACAACAGAAAAACAAGTGTCCTATGACAAAGCCATATTTGTTATCTTTATGTAGGTAAACATCATAAGCTGAAGCAAATTCTACTGCAATTAAGGTTCCATGAAATATGTCTGAAATGAATAGAGGAAATTAATTTTTTATTGTGTCAAAAGACATACGCTCACCTAACTATGAATTTCAATTTGCAAAAGGAAATTTATGGCAAATATTTAAATAAAATCTGAACTTCAGGGAATGATATAATGGCTTACATAACTATTACAGAGTATTGTATCACATGACACTTTCAGTGACCAACAAATATGATCAGAGCTAGGCGGCATATGAACAATATTGTTTTAGAGACTCTTTACTGACACTGCTTAATGAATTTTACAAACAAGCTTTTGTTATAGCATCCTTATCTCAGATCTGCCTAAAATCAAAACAGAGCCAGTAATCCTTAACTTTCTAGTGAAGCCAGTGCAGTTATTTCCCTTTTTATGCTGGTGAATATGAGCCACAGAGAATGTTTAAAAGAATAGACACTCAGCTAAGGTCTAATCCCTCGAGTTTGTGAATATGTCTCTGTTGTCCTTGTCCATATTTTCTGTGGAGGAATTAATAAGACAAACTTGTATAGGATCAGTATAAAGACAGAGACAGAACACTGAGATTGCTGCTATCTGTGCTTTGCCTAAATGTCCAACCTTCTTATTTCTGGGATAACATTCAGAGATATTTCTAGCAGATATTTTGATGAAGTAATGAAGGTCTTCTAAAGTTAAAAGTTTCTAGAGGATGTGTTGATGTTCTGCTGCTCTGAGAATCTCACTTCATGTAGTATCTTGCACTGAAAGTGCAAGCCAGCATTTGATGGTTTGGCCATCAGTGGAGGGAGTATGTTGGGCTAAATGACCTCTTGGTCTCACTTCGGTTGTTCTGATATTGTTCTGATGATTAAATAACAGGACTACCTGTTGGGTAAATAAGTGTTTATTGTTCACAATGTTAGAAAATTCAGCTCTAAGTAAGTACTTTATTTTCATTTGTTTAACACTTAAACTGTACTAGAGGAGGGACAGGGTCAGATTTGGATCTAAAGAGAACAGTTGGATTACTGATGAAATACTTGAAGCTACAAAAAATCTAAACTGGATCAGTGAAATTATCCGGTTCTACCCTCAGTTTTTGAAATTTCTTTTCTGCCATTCTAAGTTAAACTTGGAAATCACGCTTCATAGATATCTTGCTGTTTTTCACATTCACTTAAAATTTTCTTTCACTCTTGCCTGCTATTCTGAAGGCTACAGGGGTATTAATTATATATGGCATATTTTTGTAAATTAACTTCTGATATGGGTTCAGAAAAGAAATCCTGTACTTTATTGAACTCTAAATTGGTAAGGCTAAAACCAAAATGTGCTTTTTGACTGTAACGTGTCTGTTTTCCACCTGGATAACAGTCATTTGCCATTGAGACAGCAAATACATCTGTGAGTGTACACACTCTGTAAGATAAATAAGGAACTTACTTTCCATTAGACAAAGCAAGAGCTTGGTTTATTTCTCGTTAAGGAGAAAACAAAGATTCTTTAACAAGTTTTGGACTGGGCATTAGATGAACACGCGGCACACCCATAAAGTTAATCTTTACCAACATTACAGGCCAAAAGAGAGATCAAAGCCAACAGGAATCTTTTAACAGAGTTCTCATGATTTGAGAAGTATACCTTGCAATTTATACATCATGATGAAGGATAAATCTTTGATTTTCCTATTTGAGTTCATTCTCCCTGAAAATGAACTCCAGATAAACTAAAAATTTGGCCTCTAGACAAGTTAATGGACATTCCTCCTTCAAAATTTAAGTTTCAAGAACTTAAGAGGCCACATCACTTCACCTAATCACCAATATGTTTTTAATTTAAGGTTGAACAAAACAGTTTTGTTCTAGTTACTGCAAGGTTTTTACGATTGTGAAGGAACTGTTTTAAAAAAAAGTCAAAGAGAATAAAATATATTTCTTACTTTAAACTATCTCAAAATGACTCAGAGGATAAGTTCAGAAAAAAATAAGAGATTATTAGCATTTATCACTCTGTTAAGGAGCAGTTTCCTGTCTTTGTGAAATCATTGTCTGTACTCTTTGGCATTCAGAGGAGAAGTCAGATGATTCCTCAATTTTCTAGATCAGCAGACCTGATCTCTCATGTCTGCCTGTGTCCCACTCAAGTCCTGCTGGCTATCTGAGCAGCTGGCAGACCGATTTTGTAGAAAAAACAGTCTAATGAGCATATACCTAAAAAAATGACTCATAAAGCAGATTAGCTGCAGCAAGATTCCTAAAAAGAGAATGGTTTGTTTTCAGCCTGACCTCTGCTCTACGTTAAAAAATTGCCTTGATTTTGTATGGCCAGTAGTTACCCTATGGCTGAGTCAAAGTAAAGAAAGCAAGAAGTTTGTGGTGGTAGCATAAATAGAGAAAGCTGATATATAATTAAATTACAGTGCATGCTGTGTAAGCCTTGCACTTACAGAATCTCTTAATTCCCTATATAATTCGTTTTAAATATCTGGTTTACTTTACACCTAGAATTTTCCAGAATATTTATCTACACAATAAGAAAGTATTATCCCTCATTAATATGACCTGAATGAAATACTAAGTGATTAAGGCTTTCTGGAAGGTTTGAAGAGAAGCAGAGAGCTTGAGCTTCCAGCTATGTTCTCACTCTTATTCATGGTCAAGGAGTGCTCATTTGAGTCTATGCAGCTCCACAGACTTCCTCAGACCAATGTTTCGGCAGTGGCTGAAGGATGATAATAGGGTAAATGATTAACATAAATCCTCCTAAAATTCCACACTTTGCTCCTATCATTAATAATTAATCACTGGTATTAGAGCCTGTAGGGTATTCACTTGCAACAGACTGATCATATTGCCTCTTTCCACCAAAAAAAGATGTCAGGCTGCTCTCACAGTTCTTTCTCACAATTATTTCCAGTACCAGAGCAGCCTGGCCCAAGATATCTATCTGCTTTCATACAGTTAGCATGTTTGTGTCCTTGCTGTTTGGTTTGCTTTATACCTTGGGGCAGCATAGTGAAAAATGAGCTGACACTCGGTTTTAGGGGATTTTGCTGCTGTTGTCTGGAGCAACTTGTTTTTTAAGACTTATTTTTAACTGTCAGGTCAAGAGTACTTTATATAACTAGGAAAATAAAAAAGTAGTTCAGACAGAGGACGGGAGAAACTTTAGCATGGTGGAAATATAGTAAAAGTAGCAAAGAAGTACAGACATTTCCAACATTTTTAAATGCTTTTTAATGAGAGGAATTGCTTCAACTTCAATCTGAGATGCATGCCTTCAGGGACCGTCAGCAATGATCCCAATCTTTCTCTGTTTCCCAGTTTGTCACTTAAACAATAGAAATGCACTGGGAAATGTAAGTCTTGTTGAAACAGCAATCTTGCATGGTAGCACTGAAAGCTTATATATTTAAAGTACTATAAGTCTTAAAATCCCAGCAAGAAAAATCTTCTATCGACGGAGCTGGAAAGAATAAAATTTCAGTCAAATGAAGATGAGGTACATCTGCTGCATTAATGCATTTCATCTTTAGGCACGTGTGGTGAAAGACCTGAAGAGCTTCCTCTCAATATCCTCAGCTTCTGACGTTTTCATGTGCTCTTCCCTGAAATTGTGGGATGGGAACATACAGACGAGGAAGAATATGTTTAATAAGTTTTCACTTTTAGAAATATCAGTTTTCCGTTTGCATATAACTGCGGCAAAATATAGACGAGCTTGGGCCATGCTTTATTGCAACAGAAATAATATATTGACTTACAAAGGCTAACTGAGCGAAATCAGACAGACTGTGGTGTGTCCAGATTCCATGCAAATACTTTGAATATGAACTTCTTTGTTGGGCTCCTTCTTATCTATGACTGGATTTGTAAAAGCATAATAACGTCTGGAAATATATTTGCATACGTTATTGAGTAAATGTGAAATAATTGTCAATTAGAAAAGAATAGGATGACTAAGAAAATCTAGAAAAAAATTTGGAGCAAAGATTAGTTGATATTAAGAATAGTGAACAATAAAAATCAGTTATCTTTTGCAAAGATGTACTTTTCCTAGTGTGCTACCCAAATTAACATGGTGATTAAAGCAGAGGGCTGACTGACTTCTACAAGTATAACATCCTGAGCCATCTTTGTTCCTCATGAAATGCTGCTGCTCACTGTTTTTTCTTTAATTACAACTCTGTAAGAGCACATTCTGAAAAAGATATCTGCATAGATAAAAAAAGAAATTTAGATTAGCACTAGAAGAACCATTCATTCTGGAATTGCATCTGACAAGAATACCTCTGAGTGTTCATTGTCAGACATCTTCGTGCAGAACAATAAAGTAATACTTGATGGCATGGGGAAATGTTTAGCTAATTAACCATGTGTTATATGGGTATCCAGGTGTTTAAGCATATTATGTTGATTGACAGGTGTGAGTGTTGCTGACATGATGCCAATATACATGTATTTTCCTAACATAAAAACACAGGCCAACAATTACGCAGAGCACTCTTTCTTCAGAAATCTCAGCTGTTCCATAATCATTAAATAAATAGTTTAACTTGCTCCAGTTCTTGATAGTAGGGGCTGAATAAATTACTGTTGTACTTTGAGGCATGTAAGAATGATTAACACAAGTTGTAATCATAACTGCAATTGAAGTACTATGCCAGGTCTATCAATATGAATAATTTCACAGGTTTGTTGTTACATAAGACATAAAACAGTGTAATCTCAATTTTACCTTGATCGATAACAAAGTTGTAGTCAATGTTAAGGCTTAGGTTAAATTCTATTGAGAATAAAATTGTGGTCATCTTTTAAAAAAATAGATGCAAGTTAGCATCATTAGTTTTACATGCCTTTACATGTAAGTACATTGAAAACGAGGTGCCGGGTAGATAAACACGGAGCTTGAAACTTAATGTTAAAATTTCTAGGTTAAATATTTGCATTAATCCCTCCATGTAAGTAAATGAAAATGCATATTCAATCAGCAATTAAGGTCTACAAATTTCTCGCTCCTTCTCACTTTTCTTTCAATGTCAGATTCTTAAAAGAGAGGGAAAGTTGTTAAAATAATTAACAACAAACCATCCTGATGTTCATTGACATTTTTTTCTTTTCTTGTTACTAAACATAAACTATGTTCCCTGTTATAGTCAAGTGAGAAACATAAGTATCTCCAGGGGGCAAGTAATTGCATTCTGACAGATATACAAGTCAGATGAAACACTCTCTGCAGATGCTAATGTCTTTCCATTCCTTCTAAACTGAGACTAGTGTGAATAGCTTCAACCTAGATGACTAAATTTTGACATCTATGTTTGCATGAGTTAATGTTTCTTAATGATTAAATTAGCCTGAGCATCTAAAAATGTTCCTAAAATTTATGAATTTGGGAAAAGACTTGATTTTACAACACTCATGCCTCTGTCTGCTTTCTACTTATATTGAGGGGACAATCTGGAGTGTCCTTCCTTATCCTAACTGAAATATCTACAACATGGAAAGTACATGAATCTAGTTCCTCAAGATCTGTTCATCACTTAGATGTTGTACAGATCATTAGGTCTCACATAACCCTGTAAAATGGACATAAATTATTTAAACCCTCAAGATAGTTGAGACAAGGTAAACAGAGGTCAAGCAAATTTGAGCTAACTGATGTAGACTTTTCAGATCCATTTCAATATTTCATATAAATTCTCTGGTCGTCAATATTCCTTGAAAATGCTGGGGGTTTGTTACTTCAGCATGGAAAGTCAAAGTTCATTGATGCATGGATAGTCATCTATTACATTAAAAGTATTTTTAGTCAGAAGTAGATTTACGTTGTCTGTAAGATTCCTGTGAAGGGTTCTTCAGTAAAACAATTATTTAGTAAATAAAACTATTATTCAGTAAAACCGTTATTTAGTTCTTGATCTAATGCAGGCAGGCAATGTTAACCACCATCTGGAAGATCCTTTGGGCTCCATCTTGTGGCTAATTCAATGATTGTTACCTCATAAGTGAGATGCCTACCCTCAGCTAGTCAAAACAGGAGAATAGCAATACAGAAACTATTTTAAGAAAATTATTTTAAAAGTATTTATAGTGTTGCAGGGTTTTTGGTTATTTAACTGGTTTGGTTTGTTTTAGTCTTGGTTTGGTTTGTTTATGGGATTTTTCCCCCTCTGATTAGGACCACAAATTCTGTTAGGTGGCTGTGTAATACACTTAGAGGTTATGGAATCAGGTAATCCACTTTCTTGTCCTTTGATGCATATTAAAAACTGCATAATGAAGCTGTGATTCATGTTGCACCAGTGACATCTGCAGCTGAGCCAAAATCTCATGCTGCCATTTGCTTTATGAATAAGATTATTGACTTCCAGTTTTTCTGGTCAGCTCCAAAGCTAAGTAGTTCTGAAATGCACTACAGCCCTTTTTTACTTCAGTTTGGAAAGGATCTTGATTTTTGTATATATTGAAAAGGGATACTGCTGTGCTTGGCCAGTTTATACCACACTCTGTATGCAGATCAGCAGTTTCCAAGCCATGGATATGGTACATTTACCAGGAATACTTGAAAGAACTTGTACTTTATTGGATTGAAAAAAATATGTAGTTTGAGCTTAAATGTACATATCTTGCCCATTTTCTCCTTTTGTTTGATATCAGCTGCACTCAGATTATATGTACTTTTTTTACACCCATTTGTGTTTATTGCAAAAAGGTCTCTAAAAGGGATCCTGTACACTCTCCTGTCAATTTATTTTGATGAAACTTGTCACATGAATTTGTGTTGGTTTTTTTTGTTTGTTTGTTTCCAAAAACCTATTAAACCAACTTCCTGGCTACTTAGGTTCATGATTCACTTTAAACAGTGAGAGTGTTCTTACATGTACTCATGCGAAAAAGTAACTTTTAGAAATTATGCAATGATTAAATCCTGTTTGGCTTCACTAGAACCACAGACATAAAGAGTCTTCGAGACAAGAATTCCTGACCTGGAAAGAGAAATTACTAAGCTTGTGAAGGTTGCTTGCTTGACATTCCAAACTCAGTCCATGGGCTCTTTAGTCAGAAATAAATAGGATATGCTAGCTACGAACTGAAATGAGAAAATTCATTTTACGCAAAATTAGGAAAACTTGAAATTTTCTCTAATCTAGCTTCATTCCAAACAAAGGGCTTTTGTAACTCTCTGTAATTATGAAAAATTGTTGAAATATAAAAAGACCATGTTTGTTTATATAAACAAAAATTATTAATATTTCTTTCTTTTAAAAAAGGCAATTAAACCTTAAAAAATGCTGAAATACTACAGAGTGTTACAGTTCTGTCTATTGTTTTCTGGAGATGTTCTGAAGATCATGAGATTTATGTTATTTCACCAATACTTGGGTCTATTTTAATTCACTCGAATCCTCACTTACAGGGTTTTGAATTATGAGCAAGAGTTAAAAATTTTTGTGTACTGGCAGCCAGATTTGCTCTTGGGAAATTTAGGAAGTGCCTTCTTCGTACGGAGGTTTGTTACCTCTTGCCCTTTTGAATCTGACAACACTTACACATTTCTCTGACGGCTCCTCTATCCCACACACATCGAAAGAAGGCATAACATGATGCTGGAAGCTAAAGTTGACTGTTTTCTAGGACTTGGGTCACAAAGTCTGAAAGAGCTAACCTTTCAAATAGAAATAGTGAATGCCTAGATTTCATGCATAAATTGTGCCTTAAGGTTCTTTTTAATACCACTCATATTTGGAGAAATCAGTGAAATACGTAAGCTTTCTCCATCCAAATTTTGTTCTTTTCTGTCTCTTTCAAACTCCTTCATATTTGATTTATGCTATGCACAGAGTGTACCATCGACTGAAAGCATCATTCCATCTTCTCTTTTTGTGATGGCTTGTAACTCTGGATTGCTCATTATTCTTTTTTTACTAGATGAGAGATGTGTATTTGAATAAGACAGAATAATTGGAGAAAGCTTCATGTAGAGCAGAGTGTCTATGTGCTGTGTAATTCACATGAAAAATGGTAAAGTGCTATTTGAACCATGCATGCTACTACCACAATATATTTTGGATAACGAGCCAGTCAATTTAGAGCCACTGCCTGGCTACTTCTATGATTTTTGCAGCTGTGCAAAAAATACTGTGTCCTTAAGCAAAACCTGCGAACACTAGCCTTTTTTATTGCCAGTCAGAGGAATACACATGGAGCCTGGAGCAATTTCTTGTGATAACAGAATAAGCAAAAATAAATAAAATCTGATCTACATATTAGGAGTTAGCCAGTAACATGCAATATTTTCCATGTTGGGCCTGCAGAGAGGAGGAAGTTAGATGAGAAGGCTAAAGCATGACATGATTGTGTTTTGGAAGAGACCCTATTAATTCTGTCTAGTTATTCAGTTTAGGGAATATCTAAGAGAATATCAGAGGAAGATATGAAGACAGGGACGTCGCTGAAACAGTTTTCCTTGGTAACTGGAAAATTTCATTTGACTAAAATTTTTTTCCCACTAGAATCACTACCTTCCTTGCTGACAATGTTGGTTATGATCTCAGAAAACCAGAAGAAGGTGGTTTAGTCCAATAATAAATAGTGATGATATCATAAAAATGACTAAAGCTTACTTTCAGTTCCCACTTCCATGTTTCTGTACAGTAGGTTGGTGGTAACCACCAAGTTGAGATACAACCTATCCTGAGCCAGGGGCTTGAAAGTATCCTACATATACATGTTGGTAGAATCCTTTCAACTAGGAAATCAAAGGAATTTTTTTTTTTTAAGCAGAAAATAAAGAAACCTGAAAATGAAATGGAAGAATTGACCTAACTTCAAAGAATGTTCATTAAAAATGCATTTTTCAATCAGTTTTGTTGGGAAAGATTATGGCTAAGGAGAAAAAAAAAGTCCTAACTGGTAAAAAATGACCCAAGACCAAGCAGTAAGTATTTAAAACAAATTCTCTTGATTTTTTTCTGTAAATGAATGGGCCCATAATCTGTAGCAAGGGTGGCAGAAGCAGCACCCTTAACAATTACATCACCCTTTTTTTTCCATTAAGGATGTAACAGTCCATGTTTTTAAACACAGCATGCATTTTGAGATCTGAAAACCAATGGCGTTAAGTGTAGCTGCCAATTTTCTGATTCTCCCTGCTTCATGTGCTACCTTTCATGCCTCAGTTGTTGCAAATTAATCTTTGGACAAAATATCCAGCTTGATACCTATTAGGCATGGTCATTTTTGATAACCCAAATGAATTTTATTATTCTGTTAAAGACATGAGGTGAAATTTCGGCTTCAGTGGATGAATGGGACTTTTGCCACTAACGTCAACACAGCCAAGATTTCACTCATGAGCTGATTAAACATTTGAGACTATAATTTTTTTTTTTTTCAGTTCAGTTAACAGCTGTGTATAGGGATAACAGAAAAAATAATAAATTAGCAGGACTGAAAATGTCTTCATGTATAGACAGTTAAGGTTGGCTCCATTCTTCACTTATGTGAATCACAAAATTTCCAGATGTTTTTGAAATGGTAAAAGACACCCATGCCCCACTGCCCCCCCCCCCAAAAAAATCTCACATCAGTAAACTTCAGTAATAAAGAACAAATTTTTTTCTCTCTAAATCAAATCTAAATCTCAAATAATCCTATGAAATCTGTGGAAATGTTCTGGAAATGTGCCCATGGCCCAGTTTAGTGAGTAAGATATGATTTATAAACACATAATCAAGAAAGTTGAATAACCTAAAGAAAAATATCACCTTAGTGGTAATATTTAATTATTTTTGCTGTTTGAATAAAATCAGAAAATTAAAAAAAAATTAAACTCAACAAATCTTACTCTTAAAGAAAACACTATAAATAGATACTTGGGGTCTGATAAATACATTGTATTTATCTTTAAGCATAAAAAAGTGATGTTTTAGTCTCTGATGTAGGGCAAATTTTTCCACTAATCTGTTAAAATATCAAAGAACAGCTTCAGAAAAGGTTACACGCAAGCTCCATACATATCTGAAAAGAGGAAATTAAATGGGCTGAGAAAAGCAGCTTCTGCAAAGAACAAACAGCCAGGTCAGCATGCATGGTGCACTGCAAGTTTTGTTCTCTTTGACAAATCCTAACGTGATAACAAAGGCCTCTCATTCTCCTCCCAGTCAGAATGATGAAGTGTCTGATATTAGGCTGTGTTGGCCTGTTTTAACAAGGAGTTGCAATACTGGAAATGACAACTGTGTTATCACAGTAGGAGCGGATAAAGTCTGCTGATGGTGGCACATGAGGTGGTGTATGTCATCGCAATTGTATCACTGAACGAAGGAAACATTTCTCACAGCAGTCACAGTCTGAAAGTCAGTCAAGGGAAAATATTGATTTACCTTTCTTCTCCCCCTCCTTTTTCACTGCAACTGAAATAGAAACAAAAACAATGTGTTTTCACAATCGAAGCTAATAATAGTGAATATCAGTAAAACAAATTCAAATGCCTATATATGATCCTTTTCTGCACATATCCCAAATCATATATACATTATGCAACACAGGAATAAATTTCTTTGCCAGGTGAGGAAAACTGAAGTGTTTCGTCACAGACACCCAGCTCTGCTATTGATGAGGGCAAATTTCAGCTTTCTGTATTCTCTCATGTAGTTTCAATTATGGTCATCCTCCCTCTCACACATCGGTACTGTGAGATAGTCACAGAGTGAATATTTCAAAATCAACAATGAAGGAAGCGGATAGACTGAAATGGGAAGGCATGAAGGGGCAAGGGAAGTATGGAGAAAAGTCAGGAAGCATCATCAGTTCAACAGAAATATGTGCATTTTTACTATTAAAACTTTTAGTCATAAAAAATTGCATAAAATAAGTAGTAAAAGTACATTTGAAGTTATATTCACATTTCTAAGACTCTGCCTAACATGGGGAATTACAAGACCTGATCATCCAGCAATTCCACCTCCAAATCCCATAGTATGAGTTTTGTAGGAAGGAAGATGGGAAAGAGACTGTGAAAAAACTGGTACTTTAAACCCAGTTTAAACAACTTCAAATTGGTAATCGATTCCCCAGTAGAAGCTATGCTGTGTGATCAGTGTTCAAACTCTGGAAACAGAATTGAAGTCCCCTAAAACTCAGCCTGATATTCCAATAAAACATTGCATGTATTTGCAGTGGGTACTGTGAAAACCTAATGTTTTATTAAAAGAGCTGAGGTGTCAAAAATGGGAGTTACCTGCATTTACAGATTACTTATGCAACCTTGATGGAGCTGAGCCAAACTTGTACCTAAGTCCATGTGAAACCTGTTCCCCAACCTACATTTATGAGACTGAACCTTCTAAAAATATAGTTACAGATGTCACTTTTCAAATGTCTGTTAGAAGTCGTCATAGTAAGTCTCCGCCTTTGGCTAGTATTTGCAGGCAAAAGAAGACAGCGAAATTAAAATTCAGAGTTCTTACTTCCCTGAAAAGGGTGTTTGGCACCATACTGCCAGTATGAGTGGGCCTGATGTGGCACTGGAACTGGAAACAAAGCAAGCAGAGGCATAACTCTGCTCTTCACTGGAAAATGTGCTCTGGTGCAGGACAGAAATCAAGTGTCATGATATCAGGGGAGGGAGTAGACACTCCCTAGTAGTTTCAATGTGTGCATTTAAGATTTGGGTGCTGATCTCTGGCTCTTTAGTGTTCTTGAAATGCGAAAGCATTTTATTTTAAACTGTTAGTACGTTTGGACAAAAGAGATTAAAAAAAGAAAATATTAAAGCTGGATTTACTGAAATGCCATCTATCAACGGTCTATGGCAAAAAATAGTCTGATTTCAGAGATTATTGTGTTTTCTGCCACTTACTCCCCTTTGAGAATTAAATAAATTTAAGCATCTCAAGAATGTGCCCAGCAGTAGAAAAAAGGTTTCATGACTAGAATAAGCAAAAAACTGGCAAGGGGTTTCCAGGAACTGGCCCTCTGCAATCACTTTGCTTTCCTAGGCAATGTGTGTATCAAAGCTGTGAAGCGTGCCTTTCAGAAACTGTTGTTAAAGCAGATTTAGTAGCTTTTACCTCCAGAAGCTGCTTTTGAAAGGCATACTTACAAAGCCAGTTGAATCACAGAATCATAGAATCAGCTGGGTTGGAAAGGACCTCTGAGATCATCAAGTCCAACCCTTGGTCCACTACCACCATGGTTACTATGTGTGTTGGAGTGACTCTCAAATCAACAGAAACCCCAAATATCAAGACTCTGGGAAGGGTGTATAGGTTAAGGTGCAGTGCACCTCTGGGCTCCTCCTGACTTCTGTCCTGCCAGCTTATGTGATGTGACTCAATGTGCTTCCGCTCCTGAGGCAAGCACAGGCAGAGCCAAGTCCATCCATACCTGACACTGCACTTATGGCTGGATAGTTTTTTATAATTATGCTATTATATCCTGTTTTGAAATCCTTTGGAATTTTCACCTTGACCACAGTTTTTCTTATGGAATGTTTTGCAAATACTCTACAAATCCTAAGAGAAAGAAGAGATCTCATTCTGACCACTGTTGCCAATAGCATTGCTCCTGTTACTCCACAATAAAATGACAAGGAATACATGAAAAAGAGCGTGGACACCATCCTTTACATTGCTCTTTCAGAAGCTGAGCAATGTGTTTGAATCTGAAATGCAGCTAAGAGATGGAAAGATTACCCAAAGAATTTGGTTTCCAGCTGTTAAAAAGCCAGAAAACCTACTGGGTAATATATTGTAGCTGGGCAGGGAAGGACATGAAATAAACTAGAATGATGTACTAGAAAATCTGATGGTCTAATACGAGAGATGGTCTTGGCTGTGTGGAGAAAGAACAAATTCTTAAGTCAACTTCTTTTGCACTGTATTGATGAGAGTTGTCACCTAGTTCTTGAATTAGGAATTTTTAAGCACAAAGCTATTCAAAGAGAATTACATTAGCAGTCTTAAATCACACTCTGCCTTCCCTACATCTATCCAGATCCAATCTTCCAGTTAATATAGACATGATACAAAGCAAAATACATTTATCAAGAATACATATACCATTTTCAGAAATCATAAATCCAGATTGACAACTATTTCAGAAACCAGAGGTGAGCATTATTGTATTTTAGATTTTGGAAATGGGTAAAGAAATCATTACAAACCATGTTAATATTTTTTATATAGGGTGGGAAAATAAAGGTAAATTTCCAGTGGTGGAAAGGTCACAAAACTATGGCACTGTGGAAACACTGTTTTCTGCTCAACAATAGTCCATTCCATGTTGCTTTATGACCCAGCCATGGCTAGTAACAGATATTTAGTCTGAATACCATCATAGAATTGATTTCTTCCATAAATTCTCCCTTTATTTTCTTATAAGAACCAATTGGTTTCGTCTTGACACATGAAGTTTAACTTTCTTTCCATATTTACAATAAATTATGAAAATTTTGGCTATGAAAACCGCATTTTCATAAAGATATTCAGCTCCTCTGTGTCATTTCTAAAGAGCCCTTGATTTAGATTTGTGATTTTCAGTCTTATCATGATCATACTAATTAACCTCAAAGGGAATCTTGAATCTTTCCTATTTCTCTTTGATTTTGTTGCTTTTTCCTAGCCCACTCCAGTGCCACATTATCATGCTAGGATTTTGTACACAACACTCTAGGCAAGATGCATTTTCGATTTATTCAATAGCTTTAAAATTTTGTATGCATTTTTCCTAATACATTTATACATGGAAGAAAGTTCTTCACAGACTTGTCTGCAGTACTGCTTAGGTCCTTTCATGAATTCACAAAATTAGTTTAGAGATAAATTATTCTTTAATATTTTCCCTCCACTATATATTATATTGTATTTATTAACACTAAATTGTCTTTGTCATCATGCTGTCTGTTTTCACCATTTAAATTCAATGTATCACAACCCCTTCTGACCCTGAATTCTTGAACTAATTTTGTCAACTGAAAATTTCATTATATTACTATTTCTATCTTTTCCTGTTAATTAATGAATATTGAATGTTGAATACTGTAGGTCTTGGGCAGCAGCTATTTAGTTTCTGCAGTAATTCCCATACTGGAACTTTCCAAAGACCTATTTAAACCATTCCATAAATGCTATGCTTATTGCTTTATTAATATCTTGAAAACACTTATTATTAAGACATCGTTTCCTTCTCTAGATACCATGCAGACAGAATCTCTGTGATTTTCCAGATAACTGGTTTTGTTCTGAGTTTAATTATGATTTCACCAAATTTCTGACTAATTTTAAATTTCTGATTAGCTCTGGAGTAATTAAAGTGTATTTGCCCTGACACAATAAATGATTTGTCTGAAGGTGATGGAAATTTTGCTGAGTTCTTACATTTATTTTGGTTATAATCATGTAAGTTAAGTTAAAACAAGATCAAATGAAGACTCATCCCATGTGTCAGGTACTCTGTAATAACTGTTCATATTCATGCTGTTGTGCTGAAGTGAAAGCCACCTAATGTAGGCAGCTACAGCAAAGCATCTGGCATTCACTGATTTGATACTGTCTTTACCCATCTCAGCATAAATTGTCCATCTGTTCATAGCTTGAGAAGAATGTACTGTTTTAAAATATTTAAGAATATTTAAGTGCAAGATTCTGCATGTAGGTCAGGGCAATCCCAAGCACAAGTACAGTCTGGTCAGAGAGTGGATTGAGAGTAGCCCTGAGGAAAAAGACTTGGGGATGTTGGTGGATGAGAAGCTCAACATGACCATACAATGTGTGTTTCCAGACCAAAAGCCAACCAAAAGCTGCAAGGCCAGTAGGTTGGAGGAAATGATTCTGTCCTTCTGTTCTGCTCTGGTGAGAGCCCATCTGGAGTACTGCTTCCAGCTTTGGGTATTTCTACATACAAATGCAGATGCTACTTATTCAGCTTGACTACTTTCCTTAAGAAAAAGTAATTAAAAAAAAGTATCAAGGCATAATACAATGTTACACTTCGTAGTTTGCTATAAAACATGCCTCATCTTTATGTATTCTGTTTTTTGAAATTAAATTTTTAACTCTTTCCTTTTATAAAATGGTATTCATTCACATTATGTATGACTTTTTTCTGATCTTTTTCTCTTACTTTCTAATGTCTAGTGGAGATTTTTTACAGAGAAGTGCTGATTCACAATGGGAATTTTATACCACCTGCTACAATTCAGTATTTGTTATATATATATATATATATATGTCATTATCTTAGTGTCTGGCTTTTAAAGCTCCTGTATTTTTGTGAAGTATTTCTTACTGAGAATGTTCAGCAATGATGTTCTGTAATGGTTGGACCATTTGAATGGGTTGATACTGCAATTTTTAGACACCAAATACATCTACCTTACATTTTGCTTCTCTATTATTCAGGATTTTCTATTGCAATTCTATATTGAATATGTGTGAATTCAAATTTCACATTTCAAAAATGTATTTATCATAACACTGTGGCCAATTATATTAATGCGATTTACACTGGATTTCACAGATTTCTGTAAAGTAGCAAATGGTAATCAAAACATTGCTGTTTCTCAAGGTGTTTTTGGTTGGCTAGTTTTACATGAGATGTCCTCTAAAGAAGCTCCCCATGTACTCTCAGTTGACTAAAAAAAGTACCAATGTTCATAAAAGTGACCTCATGTTTGCCCTTTGTTACAGGGCAATGGCCACAAAATTTCTGGAATACTTTTCCCCATAGAGACTTTTCTCAAACTGTCTGCCTGATGTATGTGACATGTCACTTATCACTGTTAAGAAGGAGAGGTTTAGTGATGCGCAGCATCCCACATGAATGCTTGAAGCCACTTTACGAGTTGGGGTTACACTCTTCTGACAAAATGTCAATGTCTTGTCATGCGTATTCAGTGTCACTGAGTTAGTTGTATTTGCTTTTGGAAATGTTGCACTTGTATGAAACTTGTCACATAAAACAGAAAAGACAGAAATAACTTTTAAAAACCTGCAGCCACTGAGCTGTAGTGCCTTCAAAGTAAGATGGTGTAAAATTTGCTGTGTCGTGAACTTTAATGATTAGAAAATTACTGAATCCTATTATAAACACAAAGATGACATCACCATGCACACATGTGCAACCTGAGATCTTCCCACTCAAGCTCAACTTTCTCACTCAACTTTTCTGTTGCAATCTTGTTTCAGGAGCCTTGATGGATCTGCAGTCCTACTCAGAATAGCCACTGTGCACAAGACTTAGAAGTCAGTTGACCTGATCATCTGTCTGACAGCACTTATTCCAAATATTTTAAGTTCTTATAGAGCCAGTTAAAGAGAAATGCTCTCACAGCTGTGACATATCACTTGTTCTCAGTTAGCTGTGCAAGGCACCAAGTGCATCCAAAGGTGCATCCAAAAGTACAAGGCCGTACACAAGCCACTAGGAATAACTGAAGTAGACAGTACTCATCTCACTTGGGAAGGTAGTAAAGGCTGTGCAAACTCAGCACGACTGGTCTCCACTAGATTATGTCATTGCTCATCCAAATATCCTATTGTTAGTACAAACTTCAATCAATTCTAATTCAGACTTAATCCGAGCCATTGTTCTTCATCAGAATAATCACACGTATCTCTGACGTAATCTTGTACTGCAGTCCAGTTATGCACTCTGCACTAAACATTCAGATCACACTTCTTGTGTTTTGACAAGCAGGAAATTATAAGTCTGTAAAATAACACAACAGCACAGAATCTTTTATGTTTCTTACAGTGTTTTAATCTATAGATTAAAAAGTTAGACCATGTAGAAAAAATCTATGTGATATGAAACTTCACTTGGGAACACAGCTTATATTTTCTACTGATACAGTATAAGCAAAGTCTTGCTTTTGTTTTATCAGCTACTATAGGAAGAAGTAATTAATTTTACTATAAGAAAAAATCACTTCTGGGAACGGACTTTCTTTTTCAAGTATATGAGTATAAAGCACTTCATATACAGTCAAAGTGCTACAATATTTAAAGTGCCATGAAGTGCTACAATATTTAAATAAACATGTCCTTTCTTGAAATAATTCCATTTGGAACTTGAAAGGAGCTGTTATTCCCCAGTTGTTCCAGTGTCTCAATTAATAAAGTCCTTATTCTTTGTATAGTTGGGTGGGGGTTTGACTGAAGATAATTCATTAACACTGCAGCTAAAACACTTTTACAGACATATATTACTTCTTTACAAAATTTGATCTTTTGAAATAAATAGTATTTTATTTTCAATATCACTTAAATTTAAATAAATTGATCTTCCAATCAGAAATATTTAGGTAGAGCTGAAGATAAGAATTAGAGAAGAAACTAAATTGTAAGCTCAATAGTCAAATACTTAAGGGTCTATTCAATGTTTAACTCTTCATTATCTAACTACGTTTCCTAGATATGTTGCAAGAACCTAGCAGGAAGACCATAGGCCTTGCTTGCCTCAAGACTAAAATTAAAAGCCAAGTTGTATTAAACCAATAATCAATACACAAAAAGCCACCCACTGTTAGGATCATAGAACAAGCTTGGAAAAGATTTCTAAGATCATCAGGTCTGACTGTCAGCCTAGCACCACCACCATGCTCACCACTAAACCTGGTCTTCAAATGCCGTATCCATACATTTTTTTGAATGCCTTCAGAAAATGTGACTCCACCACTTCACTGGGTGGCCTGTTCCAATGCTTGACAACCCTTTCTGTGAAAGGGTTATTACTCCTTGTTCACCAAAGTAAACTAAATGAAATGGTACAATAATGTGTACCCATTTTTTTAATGTCTTTGACCTTGAACTGACAATTGAGGTTCATGTACTTTGACTACTGCAAAGGGTTTCAGAATATTTAAGAATTGTAATTTAAAAATTTAAGAATTTCAGAATATTTAAGCCCTTGTATATTTTAATAGAGTCATAGAACCATAAGATGATAGCATCATAGCATCACAGAATCACAGAATGGTTTGGGTTGAAAGATCCGCTAGTTCCAACCCGCCTGCCATGGGCAAGGACACCTTCAACTAGACCGGGTTGCTCAGAGCCCCATCCAACCTGACCTTGAACACATCCAGGGATTTGTCACCCACAGCTTCTCTGGACAACCTTTTCCAGTGCCTCACCACCTTCACAGTTAAGAATTTCTTCCCAATATCTAGTCTAAATCTAGCCTCCTTCAGTTTGAAGCCCTTCTCCCTGTCCTGTCACTACATGCCCTGGTAAACAGTCTCTCTCCATCTTTCTTGTAAGTTTCCTTCAGGTTCTGGAAGGCTGCAGTTAGGTCACACCAAAGCCTTCTCTTTTCCAGGCTGAACAATTCCAATTCTCTTAGCCTTTCCTCAGAGGAAAGGTGCTCCATCCTTCTGATTATCTTGGTGCCTATCCTCTGAACTCACTCCAACACATGTCCTTTCTGTGCTGGAGACCCCAGACCTGAATGCAGAACTCCAGATGGGGTCTCATGAAAATGAAATAGATAGAGAGAACCATCTCCCTCCATCTGCTGTCCATGCTTCTTTTAGTGCAGCCCAGGATATGACTGGCTTTCTGGTCTGCAAGTACACATTGCAGGCTCATATTCAACCTCTAATTCACCAGTGCCCCCAAGTCCTTCTCAACAGCACTGCTCTCGATAACACTTTTTTTTTGTAGCACTTAAGCCTTTATTTTTCCCTCAGAATTATACAACTGTGCAAAGCAATGCTACTATTCTGCTATATACTATGTGAAATAACTGCACTTAAAACCTTGCAGATATTATCTTTCATAAGTTTGTCAGAGAAAATATTACTTTCTAGCAAATTTTAGGGAAAACCTAAAAACAGGAAGTAGTATTATTCAGTTATCTGAAGTAGTTTTCAAAACTGACTGGAAGATTTTAAGATTGACTGTTATATTCCTGTGACTCAAATGACCGTTAGCAGCTAACAAGTTATTACATATTTTTATTCATCTTAAATTATTTACACATTTAACCTGGGAGACTGTTTTATAATGAACAAGTGGCATTTAATCAATATGTAAATAGTGTCAAAGTAAAACAAACTTTTGTTTGAATTTAGTTCATATGAATAAATCTGAATGTACTTAGTTAATTATAATTACTGTGTTATCATTGCCAAGAAAAGCCTAGTATTTTAGAAGTACTATAAACTGTAGTGGATTTTTTTTGATGGCTAGTACTGATACTTTAATGTAAGAAGAGAGAACAAAGTACAATCAAATAATGTATTATAGAAGAGAACTAAAATGAAACGTGAAATGACAAATTTTAATATAAAGAATGAGAAAAAAATCAAGAGAAAATAAGTCCTTTTAACTTTGGAGTCTCTAAAATACCACTGCTACAACTTGCTTGTATAGCCCCATATGTGTCTGTCACTTGTCAGCCAGGTAAAAAAAATGTTCAGCAGCAAATGATATTGTTCAAGGATATTTAGGGATTGCTAACCAAAGAAATGAGGATTTCATTTGTGAATACTTGCACAATGGATTTATTTTCTGAGCTGGATCTTATGCTCAGTTCAACTTGAGATTGTTACCTTTTTCCTTAGTATTACTTGAAGCCTTAATATCTTTTCCTTTTGAAGAGTCTGAAAAAGAAATTGAACACAGAAATGGAAGGACAAAGTTAGTACTGTAAGTCCACACTGTCCTCACTGGTACTATAACACCAGATCGACCAGATGTGCAAAAGAGATGTATTAATAATTAAAATTTCTATTTACTTCAATAAAAGGTTCAGTGTAAGATTTGGAAGCAAACCAAAAATAATTCCCTCTAAATTTGCTGGCAAAGTTTCTGTAGGTCAAACCATGTACTCATTCCTGTGCAGCCTATCATTTCAGCCTGATGTGAATTCAGTAACAGCTCTGTTACTAATTCAATCAGAATAGATTAGCATTCCTACTTTAACATTGGCTGTGCAGGTCATGCAGCAGTTAAAGAACACCACAGTAAGAAGGGTCATGAATTTATTATTTCTGAATCATGTCAGAAACTGCTCCTTTTGACATATCAGATCTATTAAATGAGAAGCAGCTAGGTTTAGTTCCTTTACACCAACACTCTGTACCAGCAGATAACTGGTTATTTGCCAACCACTTAATGATAAGACATTACCCTTTTCTTTTAAGGCTGTTGGAGGCTTCACATCTTTTCTTTTACTGGTCTCTAGAAAGAAACATTTAACATTTATCACAAGTCAGGTTAGAAAAACTATATGGCACTTGAAAAGAAAGCAAGTCAAACAATTGGATACGTAGAGAGCAAAAAAGATGTGATAATTAAATGGATTTAACAGTATGGAAATAAAAAAAAAAACAGGACAAAAACACAAGGTCATCCATTCATCTTTTTAGTCTTGGATATGCAAAATAATAAACCTTCAATATATCATTAGTTTCTTCGTATTTTGAGGAAACTGTTGAGCCCTCTCTCAAGTAGGCAATGAGGAATAATAACTTACAAAGAAGTAAGAAATTCTATAGAGCAGCTGACATCAATAGAATTTTCTTTTGCTGAACCCAGATAAAAAATTAATCCACATTGATACAACTGAAATATTAGGAATACCAGTCTTGAAAGCCAGAGGCTGCTGATAAAGGTAAGTAGAAGTTTTCTTTATTCAGAAGTGACAAAAGGACCAGCTACTCATTCAGGACTCCATTATTCTTTTAATATCAAAGAGGCCATATGGGTATTGCCTGTGAACAGGATTTTACTTCCTGCATATATATAGCCTTTTAAAATCACAGCCACACTGGGTATAAAAGAAGAGCAGTGCTCATCTTTCAAATGTACATTCATATATTCTATGTCACAATGAATAGTCCGAGAAATTAATTGTATCTTTTTTTTTTTTCCCCTGCAATATATGACAAAGTATTAAAGGACATGAGAAAAAAAAAATTGATGTTCTAGTTCTCTCTTTCTAGTAACTGACAAGGCAGAACCCAAGGACAAAGAACAAAAATCCAACAGTTAGCTAAGCACAAATAAAGGAAAACTATCATCTTCCTATGGTGAAACCCATGGACTGAGAGCAATGCCAAAGAGGAGAATTCCAAACCCCAAGGTATGACCTGGCTTCATTTCCCAGGCTTTTCAGAAGGAATAAGGTATTGCTCCCAGAAGTATATATCTTTATACCTATTCAGATATACTTTGCTATAGATCTATTCAGCAGCCATAGTCTGTACTGCATCAAATATCTCCATCTTCCAGAAAAATGGGACTTTGTAATAATTTGAACCTCAGATGTGCTGTTACAGCTCAAGACCTTCACACAGTTCTAATAGCCTTTGCTTTTTCCTTTAAATTTTTAAGCTGTTTCAGTAGTCTCTGGAAAGAGTATTTAATACACATCACATTGCAACAAATAAGGTTTTCTCCAAATGGATACCATCAAGCAATCCGTGACCTCTTTGTGCAGAGCCAGCAGGCCAGCCTCCTGCAACTGAAAATATTAGAGGCGTGTGCCTGTGTTGCCAAAAAATTAGGAAAAAATCTTGACATATCTGTCACTCTCAAACACCTGGATCTGTCAGTAGCCGTAACCAGTTTCATTCTCAGTCATCCACATTCCTGAGCTGTAGCCACACAGACCATATTTAGTCTAGCTCTCTGCAGACACGTTCTCACTATGGGATTTAGACAACCTATTTTTGACATACTAACATCCAAAGGTGGTGTAAAAATAAATTTTAATATTTCCTCCCAGATGAAAATTCAAATATCTGTGTTTAGAAGCAGCCTAGGTAGTTTCCAAGGACCCTTACTTGGATCTGTACAGCATAAATATTGTTGAAAACAATTTATTATTAAAATAATCTAAGCATCTAATCAGGATGAGTTTGGTTTTACACACATACATTCCTAGTCAAGATCTGTGTTTAGCACAGAATAGCTGTTCTGATATTCAGATTTCTGATAATCTTAGCTTCTTCACTTACCTTTTTCCCTTGAACCTTCTGGATTCTTGGGATTTTTTCCTTTCAGAGAATCTGTAGGGAGATAATTATGTTTTTGTGACTTGAAAGACAGGATAGCCCTACTACATTTAAAAGAAAACCCAAGAAATATTTAAAAATCAAGACTAAAATTGTGAACATAAATGGATGCAACCTTGATCTCTCTTTACATTCTCTCTAGCAACCATATTGTATTTTTTAAGGTGCAATAACGTCAGTAGTAAATGCAAGAGTAAAAGTTGCTTAGTTGCTATAAATTGCTGTCTGTAGAGACCTCACAGAAAGGAGAAACTGGAAAGGAGAAGGGGAAAGTGCAAGTAATGACACAGGATTAGAAATTCTTAGGGTTTTATCCAAAACTTCATGAAGATAGAAAGGATTATTCTGCTTTCTCTTTTTGTCTGAACGACTTTTGTTTTGCCTCAGTTCTTCAGGAAACATGCACTTATGGCCATCAAACACAGTAAAAGCATGTTATATTATATAAACAACTAAAGTTTAAATATTTTGTTTCAAGCGATAGTCTTATGATCTCTTAAGTGTATGTATCAGGGAAATTAGAAGAAAATAATTTTTTCCAAAGTAAAGAAGTAGTTTCATAGGCTTATGAATGTGAGAGAATATCATAGCTTGCAGGGTGCTGAGTAGTCCCAGTTGCATTTCATCTGACAAGATATAACACCTAAGCATCTGGAAAAAAACCATGCCATTTATTCTAAATGAAAGTAAACCAAATCTTCAGTAAAGCAGATAAAGCTAAAGAATATTCTTTACAAAATAATTATAACTCTAAACATTTTCCTGGCTGCCGTAGTACCAGGAAGTGATCCCACTTATCCATCTGGTTTTAAGTGTGAGCTGTAACAGAAAACGTCCATATAGCACATCTCCTTGAGATTTCCTACAATGTGTAGCTCCTAAAACAGGTTCAGCACTTTTGACTCTTACAACTTTTGGGTGCAGCTCTCAGTGCAAGACACTTTCCATGGTGCACCAACTTCCCCACCCTCTTAGCCAAGACTACTGAGACCACCAGTTCTGCTTTCCTTCCAGGGAGAAGGTTTTCATTTTCAGAGGTTTTTACACGGACTCACTGAAAACCTTCTAAACTTCTCTCAGCTGATCCCTTTCCCACTGGTCCCAGAAGGGGAAAAACATAACATGCTGTCTTAGAGCCAGCATTTGCCATGCTACTTTCCTCCCACATTCTACTCCAGGAGTGAAGCTGGGCCAGGTGAGGAAGATGGTATAGAAAGATGAAGGAGCAGAAGTGTATGATATCCTCAGGATAAGGATCTGGTTCTCATGCAAATGATAACAAATGGAAATAGGAAGACACTGCCTTTCCATAGTTGAGTCTCACAATATAATTTTCTCATTTAAAGAAAAAAAAATTATAAGTTAAGATAAAATATGTAATAGGCAAGATGTTATTCCATATCACTTTTTCTTTAAAGGGAACACAAGCATTGCATAATAAGTGCAAATCAGCACATTTGTTTCTTTAATGACAATGTGCTGTTATGTATAAGGCAAGAAAGAAATACACATTACTGACTTATTTCTCCTACCAATCTATGCATAAAAATAAACAGGCTTATTATCCATGCTCAGCTGATGTAAGAAAAGATGCAAAAATACTCAAAAATATTGCAAGAGCAAAGAAGAAAGAAAAGAGGAGCATTTGTTTGGAAAACAAATCCTGTAACATAAGGTAAGAATGAATTTACATCATCTGTACACCACAACTGCTCTCAGTTTAATATCTCAGCATAATGCTCTAAGAAAAACTCAGTGAGGAGTTATATATAATCTATCATGAGCTTTTAGTGCCACTGTTAGAGACTCTGGATGAATGAGTTATCTACCCAAAAACCACCTGGCAAATTATACCTTAGTTTCATTGGCCTCAAATTTTTTGAATATGCTTATGTCAACAGAAAATCAGCTTTTATATTTGTTAGGACAAATGGGCTTCTCTACTGTAGGAAAAAGATGAAAAGCTAGTTATTAATTCAGATGGAATCTTGAGATGTCTTTTATTACAAGGCAATGGAAAATATATTATTCCAGTGTTCTCCTTAATTACTGCCAATAAAATTAGACTCCAAGGCGGAGAACATTTTATTCACCTCATAAAATAGATAAAGTAAAATTGTGAGGTTGTGATCTATAGAGTATCCCAGCAATAACTCTGGAGTCAGGGATTTATTTTTCCTCTTTCTGCTTTAAATAAAATCACTATGATTTAGTTTCTGAAACATAGACTGCTTTATGATAAAGTTTTTGGTCTGGACATCATCCTTGTTCATTCAAACAGCCCATCCTTTGAAGAGAATGAGGTATGGTAATTCCTCCCTTAGTGCATAAGGTGCCAGGCAAACATTAATCACCCCAAATATTTAACACTTCATGTAGAAGTGTTTCTTTATTTGGTTTACATGAATAGTAACAAACCACCAAGATACCTGATAGGAAGTATATGCAGTCTTAAAAATCCTTACTTTCCCGTGTCCTTTGAAATACTTGTATTTGTCAAAAACATCCACTTAAGAAAGAGCTATATAAAACACCAAGTTGCAGAGTGAAAAGAGGTCCCCAGTGATCCAGTCAATAACCTTTACAGAGGCCCACTGATGAGGCTTGAAGAGGTGACAGGGAGGTGAAATTCATAATTCATGCAAATAAGCATGCAAATAAAGCTTTGATTAATTTATGAACTACGGTTTGGTCAAATATGGTGACTGAATTGAGGGATTTACAGTGCTAAATATATGTTTATGTAGCAGAATGATGCAAATTGCAATAAGAAAACACACAACTCAGAAAGGCACCAAGATTTCTAAGGATTTCTCCCAGGCAGATTTCTAAGTTCTCCCTATAGAGTCTTTGACGCCAATATATTTTGAACTGAGCTATACAGCTCACTAATCAGCATCCTCATTTTTAGACACAGGCACAAAACTGTGGAGGTTTGATGCCTGTTGTGGGAAACAGCAATGGCTACATCAGCAAGTGCTCTCAGGATCTGAGGGACAGGCTCAGTTGGGCTGATCATCAGTGCTACTGCAGGATCTCAGAAACCAGTGGTGCATTTGCAGCTGATTTAGCATTGAGTAGTAGATAGAGGTCTTGTTAGCAGCAGTAATGCATTTGACATAGATGACTGTTGAATGGGTGTGGAGCTCTGGTTGGTAACACTTTGATTAACACGTTGGAATTTTTAAAGAGACTTTTGTCTCATTTTCCCAAAATGTAGGAAATCTGATATAATGTGGTCTGCACTTTGATATTTAAAAGAAATTCCTGCCTGACTGTTTCTGAAGGCTGATTGGAGAATGTCTAATGTCCTTTGTCATGTTAGAGGGACCTGATGTTGCTGACGTATTAAATATGAGGCCAGGAGATAAAAAGCAGTGCTGTGGGAGCACTCAGCAAAAGACTCACTGAGGAAGCTTGTTCAGGGCTGGCAAACCCTTTTTCATTGGATCTAAAGACATTCTTGCCAGGGAGAAAAAAAGATCTGTGTCTTCTCTCTCTTTTTCTCTCCTCACCCTCTCCCTCTAATCCTTTGAAAAGAGCAGCAGGCTGAGCATATGTGTTCTGTGCAGGGAAAGATGAGGCAGAGCTGTCACTCAAGTCCCTCTTCTATTTTTCCAGCACAATGCTATCAGGCAGCCATAGATTATGGGCAGCCTGTGGAGAGGGCCACAGAACCCCAGAGAGGTTGGGTACACAGTTCTTGTCCAGAGAACTAAGCTCATGTAAGTGGGGTGTGTGTACATTAGGAGTAGAATAGACAAAGAAGAAAAATATATGCTTCATAGGATTTGAAGATTGCTATAATTTAATTTCAATTTGTGAATAAAGGAGTGAGTGAATATAGCTTCTAGGATTTTGAAAATATGTCTAGCAATAAGATTATTCCTTCTTTTGCTTTAGATGTTATTTTCAGCTTTCAATATCACTTGAACTAAACTCTCCATTCAGTTCTTTGTTTGAAATAACATAGAATGACTATAACTTACAATAGGTATAGACTATAACTCAGACAAAATAAATATAAACTATACATAGACTATAGTAAATATATTATAGACTACATCTATATCTATATAACTACAGACTTACAATAGTTATAGACCATAACTTGGAATAAATATTAAGCTTTCTATATAATGTAGGTCTTTTTACTCTGAATTACCTGAATAACATGTCAAATAAGAGTTATCCATAACTCACTTCATTCAAATAAGGCAATTCAAAAAAAAGGAGGAGAGAATGAAGATGAGTAAAAAGCACCCAGCAAAACAATTGATGAAAGGAAATTCAGCTGAGTTAACCGTCTATTCTGACCAAATTACAAAAACCAAGACATGGGAAATGTTTGACAACAATAAGGAGCACAAAAAGATTTGGATTATCTGTCATGTTGAAGCTGGTTGACTGGATGAAGCTCTGGGTTTTTAGCTATAGCTTTCACAGAGTCCAGAAAACACCTTTCCTACTCATATATTCATAAACTTTACTTAATTCCTTTTATGTCCAAAGATTTATGCAAGGATTCAGTTGAGACTTTGTTAACTAGCTCCCATTAAAGAAATGGCATTTTCAGAAAAGGAAGTTTTTCTGAAGGTTCTTAACTATTACCCAGAATGATTTTGTGATATTTATTTAATTAGTTTTGAGACTTCCAAATATTAATTGGCTCATCATATTCTATCTTTCCCTTGCTCCCCCTTTTTTCATGACATAAATAGTGTAGAATCTTTTAACCAATTAAATTTTGTTTGGTTGAGATTTATAGTGGGAAAGATTATAGTGCTTATTTTAAAATTAGTACCTTAATTCCACTTTTTGAAGTTTTATATTCTATTTTGTTTTATATTCTTTTCAGTTTTATATTCTATTCTGTAGTCTTACCTTTTTCTTTTAAAGATGTAGGATTCTTTCCTTCCTTTTCTTTAGCATGTTCTGTAAAAATAATAACTAGTGTGATAAAAGGTTAACATCTAATACGTCTGGGGTAACGATTGATTGAATAATTGGTGGTTTCTAACTGACACAAGATACCAATTAAATGTGTAGCACAAAACTGGTTTTCATAAGTTTTAGCGTGCTCACAAAGTGAAACCACAATTTTTATTAAGTTTGATGAAAGAACAAAATCATCTAAAATTAATTTCAGTTTGAAACTTGTAATAAATGTTAGCAAATGTTCCTAAATTCTGTTTGGACTTTTCAATTTTTATACAGATGTTATCAGGGCTTTCTTTGCACTTCTAATCCAGGTAATGTCAATTAAATTTCACAGTAAATTTACTGAAATAGTATTAGGCACATGAATTTCTAACTAAACTATACTTTAAAAAACAAAATGTTCAGTGTATTTCAAGGTCTTAGAGCTCTATACAAATTTTTTCTGCCAATTTACCTTTATCTTTTATAGCAGCTGGAGGTTTCAATTCTTTCTCTTTTCCAGGATCTGTAAAAGAAGTAGTCAGACTGATAAAGCAACAGTTAGAAGCCATAACTGAGTGAAACTATAAGATTTAACCATAAGAGAAAATGAAGCACCTAAATCATATGAGAGACAAAACTGTATATTGAAAGATATGGTAAAAAACTGAGTTCTTGAGAGATTTGGACCAGATTCACCTTTTTCCATGCAGAAATTCAGTCCACAAAATGTGTTAGAACTGACATCAAGAAATAAACTTTTCATTATTTTTCTCTTCTTATATTGTGTTTCAAAATAGTCAACACCCAATACTTCCAGACAATATGATTTTTAAAGTAGAAGACTTGGAAAAGAAATTTGTTGAACAATGTCAAAAGTGTAATTTTATTGTAGAAAAGCTGTCTCTCCTATTCCTTACTACATCCCAGGCATCTGCTTCAGAAGCTACTCCTGCTGTCCTATTTTGACCATCATGTTTTCTACTCATCAGTTTATTATTCAGTCACTTGTTTTCAAAGTGAGAAAATAAATGATTTGCTGCAGATATTTGTGAATCCTATACAGTAAAACTAAGTATCTGTAATAGTTCTAATAAAATATCAATGCCATTTTTAAAACATTATGTTAACAAGAGAAATCTGTGCAAACAGAAATAAAACTCAGTGGGGAGACTGAAAAACTTGTTCTTCTGTGCTCATGAGTAATGCAAAATTCCCAAGAGATTCCATGTTCAGTGCAATAGTGTCAACAATAAAAAAGAGGACAGTGAAAGACAGACCTCCAGCCAAAATGAGTCACTTTATGCATGATATAAAGCCTTTACTTTCATAAGAAAGTAAAGTAAGAACTTAAAGTTGTTGTGCACCTCCATTCTTAAGAACATAGTTACTCAAACTGTTGAGGAAGATATTACTTTAGTGAGGCATTTTGATAAAAAAAAACATTAAACAATTCTGTAATGAAAGCTTAAGTCATTGCTGACAAAGCTTGAAGTACCATGTGATCCCAAACAAGGACATATGGTTTTTTAGACATTGTGGCATGTGACACATGTTCTGCTGAAGAATTTGAAGAAATGAAACATTGAAGAAATGAAAAATTTCCAGGTCAGGGAAATAGGAATTTAAACTGTAAATAAATCCTAGTAAATTCTGTAGGATTGAACTTACCAAGGTCTGTTATAAAGTCTGTCATAACTTGACAAAATGACCATATGTAGCAAAAATCCCACATCAAAAGCCTTGTGCTGATTTGCAGTGTAAGCTTACATTGAAATCAGAATGCATAGCCGACACCTCTAGTGAGCATAGGAAGTGCGGAGAGAATAATTTTGTGTATAAAATAATAAATATAAACTTTAATAAATATTTTTGTGGACTGGTATTTAATAGTCTCTTCCTTTTGTCCACGAAAATATACAGTATTACAATGAAATTTTTTGGGCATAAACAGACAGGAATTTCTTAACGTATGCATTATTACTATTTACAGTTATGTTGTATCAGTTCTAGTCTGTCTAATCAATCATAATCTGTAATTCTGACTAGTACCAGGAGTTGTTATTTTTTTTTTTATTATTTACAGATATTTATAAATTTTTATTATTTATAGATAGTCATTATGAAATCACTTATCAGTTATAGGGAGAAGTAATGCATAAAATATAGCTTACTTCCTTGTTTCGCCTTTGGTTTATCTGATGAAAGAGAAGAGAAGGGAAAGAAAAGGGAGAAAAGGGAAATGTTAGAATACATGTTTACACAGGAAATTATGTTTAATATAATCAGGTAATGAAAATGTATTTAAGTGCATGCTGACCCTAAGTGCTTAAATATATGTTGAAAGTTATTTCTACTCCACTGATTCTTGGCAGCGTATGTGAACAAAGTTCATGGTTCCCACCTCCTGCCTTGCATACATGCAACAAGAGCATTAAAACCCCCACTGTCATATGATACGCTTTAACCAATGGCAATAGTGTCCTTTCTTAGTACTGCTGAATATCACAAGAAAAGAATTTTTGCCTTTTCACCATGACTTTTAAATATTAATTCTCAGTAACAGGTAGTGACTCCCTGACAACCATCTGACATTTGCTCCTGTCATTTTTCAAACAAATAGGACAAAGAGTTAAAGTTAAATGCCTTTTTACTCACCTTTTAACAGTTAAAAATGTTACATACAGCTTTGCTTTATAACTAATAAAAGATCAATGAACTGAAATGTTGCTGCAACCTTTCAGCCCATTTCCAGAGGTAGGGATTTGCAATAGATTGGTAGATCACTAAAACCCTCATGTTTGAAACAATGCACCTTTGTCCTGATTACCAAGCAAATCCAGCTGCCAACGCTCCAGATTTTTCTGCTTGTCTCTTTATAGTGTTTTCCTTAGATTACAAATCCCAATTTTGACTAGGTCTGAATCCCTCTACTTTTTAAAATGTATCCTGATGCACAATAATCCTCTGTGAGGAGCATGATTAGTGCACACTAATATTCAAAAAAATGTTGTGGATGGTTTTTTGACTCATTTGTCTTTGAGTGACCAATGTATTGGCAGTAGCTCCATACATATAAGGTGCAGAAATAAGAAGCAGAGGCAATTGCTGCCTGAAAGTGTTTATGCTCGCTTCTGTGCATCAGAGGAACTGAGCAGCTGCTAGTACACAGAAGTAGCTGCAGAAGTAGTTGTGACAGACATTACACATTACTCTTATTCCTTTGACTTGGAGAGACTCGATGCTGCTGGAATGGGGAGACAGTTCTGCTGCTGCTGACTGTTGTCATGGGAAACAGTTTGCCCCCCTTTTGAATTACTTGGGTATCACAACCTGTGGTTTAGAAATCTCTGCTCCATGCCAACCGTGTGAAACTAAGGTTTGGACTGCTCAGTCTGTGCTCTTTATGGCACAGTTTAAGTATTTGGCAGAAAAAGTCCCATCTAATGGTACATTGTAGAAAGGAGAAATCTTGCAGCAACCACACACCTTATTGCTGCAGGAGACAGCCAGAGGGGAGGCAATGTAGATGGCTGGCTAAGTAAGTATTTGTGTGGCAGTGGAAAATAGTGTGGAGATACCCAGACTAACAATGACTGAAATCTAGGCCAAGGCCCACCTAATTATAACATTTTCCATGACAACTACCAAGCAGCTGACAGCTGCTGCAGGGTATCTGTGCTGGCTTGAGTAATGCTGAAGAAAACTGAAGCCTAGAAAGTGGGGAAAAGAAAGGGATAATAGCTCATCTGACCAAAGCTCCATCAGTAAGTATGTTTCACACCTTACTCTAAAGGTTACTGGCAAGTTCATCACCAGGGCTTTAACTGCCAATTTGAGCATAAGTAAATACAAAAATCACCTTGGTAGTTTTTTAGTAACAGAATACAATAGATAAAGATGTGTATCACATTAAGGAAGTCAGAGTTGATAAGCTTTGGGTATTTACATCAGTCTTTTACTATGCTCCTTATTATACTAAACTAAAAAAGTAGGATTGCTTTTAATAAGCATACAAGAAACAAGTGTGCAAGATATAATGCTGAAAGTAACAACAATAAAGAATCTAAGTGTATATCATGGGAAAAGACACATATTTATCTTGGTGGTTTAAGGCTTCTGTCCTTCTCTTTTTACGTTTACCATCATCACTCAGTGGCTTGAGTTTAGTTTTAACTTGAGTATAGACTGTCGCTTGGTGTTCCTTCTCTGGTTGGTTTGGGATACTGTATGTAGAGTTTGCATCCCTCTGAACTATGTGCCATCAACACATGCAGTTCTTGTAAGTTTTCTTCTGCTGTTCCCTCTCAGACGTTCCCACTCATACCTCATCCATACCAATCCTAAGGTTTTTGTGAAAAACTTCTAAAAGGTCAGATCTCACAAGCTTTTGAGTTTCTTTGAAGTGGACCTTTGTGACTTTTCTTGGGGCTAATGCTTCATCTGGGACAGCAATGGCACTCAGCTGACTTTAGGGGACCTCTGCGCCTTTACCTCATTGTGAGTTACTCTTTAAGGCTGAATAGCAAAGGCTGATCCCTGTCTGGGCTGCAGGGATCTTGCAGGATCGATGTGACAAAAAACACCTATGCAGAACCTTTAAGCTGAACTGGGCACCTGAAGGCTTTTATTGGGGTTGCAGATTTGTGGGACAAAGACAGTTTCATAGTGGAAATTTCCTGTTGCTCTGATAAACACAGCAAAGTCCTGAAAAATACTAGGAAAGCAATGGATTCAGAGGTTACTGTCATCCAGCTCTCTGAATCTGAAGTTATTGTTTCTGTGCTATTGTCTTTTAAGAAAGATAATGCCAACATGCTTTTCTTTTTACCTTGCTCTGCTGCCTTTGTTGCTTTTACTTCCTTCTTTTCAGATCCTGCTGCAAATAAAAGATGTGGTTTAAGTAAGATTTTGGTCAGAAGTGTTGCTACATCAGAAAAAGCTCTTCTTAAATGCAATCATGAGACTTTCACCCTCCAGTATATGAGTACACAGTAGGTATCTTTTACCTGCCTGAAAAAAAAAAATGACTTTTTTTTCTTTGGGAATATAAAAGTAGCATTTTCTTCTAGACCTTGTCTAGTGGAATGTGTCCCTACCCAGTCCAGGGGGATTGGAACTAGATGATCTTTAAGGTCCCTTCCAACCCAAACCATTCTGTGATTCTATGACGTCAGGTGAGAGAGATGCTAACCTGCAGCACACATCATGTAATGGGGAGAGCAAAGCAAGCAGATCTTTGCCCAGCTATGTGAGGGTTCCCCAGGCAAGCAGGGTTTTCTGTTTTCTCCAGCAGAAACCTCCATTCTACATCCCTGACATAGCAAAATATTTCCCCGTACTCTGACTTTTAGGAGTGTTGTTAGTCTCAGTGAAGATAACAGGCCACAGATGAACTCTATGTTATGACACCTAACTTGATCCTTATGAATACTGAGATTTCTGCATGCAAGAGAGATGCATGAACCAGACCACTTGTGCAGCAGAGCTGGTAGACCTTTACTGATGCCAGGGGAAGCAGTTGTAACAGGTCAGGATGCCTGGACATATTCAATTGCTTGTTCACAAGCTTCACCTTGCACAGTTCCTAATTCAATTGCACAGCTTGAGAGACAAGGGACAGAGATAATTTGTTCATGACTCCACACTAAGGATTAAATAATCTAAAAAGGGGTGGTGAAAGAAGGAAACCCTTCAGACTTTGCTCTCTTAGGAAATTTACATAAACATGGGTATATTTTATAGTTTCTGACAATTTACATTGCACGTTTGGCAATGTACAAGATTATATATTTAGGACAATCTACATATTTTCTAATTGAATTATTCAGGGTTACGTGTGGCATACCTGTGAACATATGTGTTTGGCTGTAAATGGCACTGCCAACACTTCACTGTTGTGGAACCAAACTTTTGTAGCCATAACTTAAAACTATTATACTAAATGGAAAGCCTTGCTTTAATTTTAAAAAAGTATCCTCTTAGAGTGCTTGACACAAAAAAAATGTGGCATTAAGAAAATAAGCTTCACGGTCATTGCCTTATTTAAAAGTAGTGCAAAGAATAAACAATCAGCATAAGTGGCAGGATGTAAAGTGGACAGTGAAAATTAATTTACATCCGATAAGTACAGAAATGTCTTTGCAGCTTCAGATGGATTAGCATGTAGCAACCTCTCAGCTTATGTCAACCTGTCAAGCAAAAAAATATTTTTAGCAAAATGGTTTCTTGCAACAAGTCACAGTTAAAAATTAAGAGTTTGCCTTTTAGAGATGAGGTAAATTCTGAGGATCATATTTTGTTAGCATTATTTATGCTGGGAAAGTCAGGGAATTCAAAGGATCTCCATGTGTAAAGTCCCTCCATGTGTGCTCACTACTTTTGAGGGGATGTCCTGATGCTGCCTCTGGGGCCAGGCTTGCTCTACAGGCAGCAGGGAAACATTCTGAAGTTGCTGGGAATGATGGCTCAAGCAGATCAGCTTAGGTAGTGAACTATAGACTGTCTGCAATGTCTGCTAGTTGCTTGGAGGCCAAAAGAATGATCTGTTCCCAGATTCCCTGAATCCTGAGACTCCACGAAATGTCAAGTATGGACAGATGAACTGCTTCACGTTGAGTGGGATGGACCAACTCACAGATATCAATCACTCCCTTGCCACTTGCTCTTGTTTATCCCAGGATGCTGTGAGGTGTGTCTGTGTTTGTGAGCAAGCTTCATGTAAACAGTGAAGTATTGCACTTCTGCACCTCAGTTACCCTGAAAATCAAGTCTAGATTGAAAGGATGCCTGATTCAATCTTAAAAAAAAAAAAGGGAAGGGAA